TGGTAAACTAGGGGGTGGAATTACATAGCAGTAACTCGGCTGGGTGGCCTTAAAGATGAATCGTATCTGATCATTTGTGTCCCTCTTACAGTCCTGAGCTATGGCCTGCGAGGCTGCCTAGCGCCGGTGCTTTGCCAAGTTGGACTTGAACGTTCCAAGCAATAGAGCCCCGACCATTTGCTGTGATAGATTCTCTCCATCCTGGTGTGTGCTGGTGTTCACGTGTTTTCCCTTTCATGGGAAAAGGTGATTTCTGTTGCTGCTTTGATAGAGGTGTGTCAGTACTGGCACTGGCATGGCTTAGCCTGTGTTGTTTCGTTGGGTGGGGCGGGGGAAAGGGGAGAAGAGATATAACTGGGTAATTGGATTCAGGGATGATTGTGCTGCTGTGGTAGGTTTTACTGGATGAAGCAGCTTGTTGTGATAGGTGTTTGTTTCAGCTTCTGTCTGCAGGTGTGACTTGGCTAGATAAGGATGGTCTATCACGTTGATGATTTCATTGTTTGATTTGGCTGCACTGGGTGGAGAATGTAGCTGCATTGTTTGGGACTAGCTTTGTAGTTTGGTTTTGTTGAAGTGGATTACATGGCAGTGCATTGCTACGCTATTGAGATGAAGCTGCAGTAGATAATAGTTGGAGAATGTTGGAGGGAAGAGACTACGCACAGTGTTTCACAATGCGTAACTAATTGAGCCTCGCAATGGCTCCCGTGTTCCTGTTGGGAGATCTGCTCAGCAGAATGCATTGGGATTACACAGAAAACCTGTGGTGGTGGTGGTTGCAGTTTGTAGCTGTACTTTAACCTGCAAGGCTGGCTGTGCAGTGTAAATAGCTCAGCGTGCTCTGAGAGACCGTGCTGGCCCCGACAGTGTGAGTGTTGTCTGGATTCGCACCGTTCTTTGCGGCCTCTCCAGCTTTCACAGTGGGTGAGGGAGAAGCTGGCAGGTAGCTGCCCTGTCTGTCCTTGCTGACCTCCAGTTCACCATTGAGCCGTGCCTTGGAGTCCACATTTCCTTGTATTATGGAACTTTCAGGCACATTAATATTTGAGTTAACATTAGCTGATGCAGGGTTGTCTCTGTTATTGAAAGTGTGGCTGATTGGTTCTTGGGCCGTGAAGTCTTTCGGCCTTATAGGAAATAACTGTAGTGTAAGGTGGGGCTGACCCCTCTACCTTGAGCAAACTTGCAGTGTGTCTTGGGAAGGTTTGCGGCTGGATTTGCTTCTCCTTGTAGTGTCACACAATGACGTGAAGTGGGAGCTGCCAGAACAGTAAATAGTGCTTCTTCCTTCTAAAACCTGCCTGTTTTTCCCCTAGATGCGACTGAGCGATTGCCTGACTCTACCTGATGCTTGATGTTTTTTATTTATATGTATCTGGTTGTGGAGGAGGTTGTATGTATGAAGCATAGGGGTTTGGCAGAAGTTGCTGGGCTCATAGTGAGGGGAAGGTGAGCCTTTGAAGAGGGGTGGGTGCAGAGAAGGGGGGGAGGTTACATGTCCAAGCTTTGTGCCAGCTTCTCTAAGCACAGATGAGCTCATGGGAATCCTGATAGCTCAAATGTGGGAGTACTAAAGCAGGTCTGAGCTATTTCCCCTCCGTGTGCAGCACGCATCTTCAGACTCTTCCAGTCTGATGGAGGCTTTTTAAGTCCTGACAAATCTTGCCAGTCTGAGCAGAGGCTTCCCCACGTCAGAGCTTCACAGCAAGTTTTGATGCCTCTGCTGCTCTGGCTGGATGCGTGGGAGGGACACACAGCCTGGCTCTACATTCTTGTTGGTGAAACCCTTCCTCTCTCTCTTCTTTTTTCAGGTGATCTTTTCGTGTGAGACGAGTGGTTCGCAGCTCATGGCCTCCACAATGAGTACTGCCGTGTCGTGACACCAGGGGTCTTGGTAAGCTACTTGTTGGAAGGGCGAGGAAAGGTCCATCTCTTTTGTCTCTGCAATTGAGGTTTGAAGTCATTTTAAGCCACCCAAATTGTAAGCTGCAACCAAGTGGGGTGAGGCTACTTTTCACCTGTTCTCACCTCCTCCTTTGAGCTTGTGGTGGCACTGATGTGGTTACATGGTCAACCAGATCAGGGGGCTGATCCAGCTGAATAGAAGTTTCTGCTGTTTCCCTTGGATTAGTTCCCATGCAAATCTTTTCTCAATCTGGTCAGGAGAGAGGTGGTGAGAATGAGTAGCCAGCTGAACCATACATTTCCCTGCAGCTGTTGCGTGGCATACCTTAAAGAAATCCTGAAAATACAGCCTTGGATGTAGCTTGCAAAAATGTCTTGAAAAGTGGCTTGACCATTCACTGTCAGTGACCCTACCTCTAATTTTAGAGTAATGATAAAGGCTGTGCTGTGGCAGGCAGACTTCAGCTGCGAAAATACATTTATCTAGAGCTTTTCCATTATTGAACCCTAGATTCCCAGACATACATATGTCAGAAGTGCATTTAGAAAAATCACGAGGCATTCCATTTCACATTATAAAAGATGGTACATTCCCAGTGTGCAGAAATGAGAAACGGAGGAAGCTGAGTTGCCGTTGTTCCACCGATGAATATATTGATGTATCCTTTATAGCTCTCTCTGGTAAGAAGAAATTTAAACTGAGATTGGAAAATGCAGTTCTCTGGCAGAGCGTATCAGTTCTAATAGATGGAAGATACATGTATGTAGGATAATAAAAAAGTAGGGTTAAAAAAATGGAGGGTTTTTTTTTTTTCCTCTGTGAAGTACTTGAAAGTTTGGTCATGTCAGAAATATTGTGCAGCCAGTGTGATCCTGATTCTGTTCTTTGTATTTTCTGATTGTGTTGTGCAAGACTCAGAGTCTGAGAAAATTCTCATCTTATAATAGAAGGTAACATGATAATGTATAAATATCAAAAGTGGAAAAGCAGAGGATGAAACAATTTGAATACTTAAGTTCATTACACTGGCATCTGCATCCTGCTTTTAGTGATGAGCTCCGCTCACTTTAACGCTATTGTTCCTTTTTCCTATTTTACCTGAAATTCACACTATTTTTAGTCATACCTTCACCTTAAGTGAGGACCCCTAAATATCACTGAGTTCCATTGACTGTTACAGATGCATAAATCTCTTTTGAAAAGTGGAGTTGGGTGCTGTTGATAATGTTATGGTTTTGTTGTCAAAACAAACATAGGAGCCAAATTTGCATGCAAAGATGGTACAACTTAGATACTTGTGAAGATGTTGTCTCTTGTCTTTAATGTATCTGTATAGCACTAGCTCCAATTACAGCATGAGAGTTGTACCATTAGTAATAGAGTAACTCCAAAGATGTTCTCAAAACCAGTGGGATAACCAGCTCATAGCCCCGGAGAGGCATGTGGATACTGTGGAGTGTGTGGCTCAGACTGGATTTCATCTGATTGTGCCTAATAGGAGGCATTAAAAATGAGACCTTTATTGCAGAAACATTCCTCACCTTAATGGGTTTGTGCAGCACAGTGGAGGTGAGAATAGGGAACAGGATAATTTCTGTGGCTCATGAAGGAGGCATGTGGTAGAGAGGAGAATTTCTGGAGACAGTGCAGAATAACTGCAGTGTGGAGCACTATCATGTTAAAGTACAGCAGTGTAATGGCACAGCCTCACAACAAAATCAGCTTGGGGAACTGGAAAACCATGGTGCTCAACGCTACAAGTTACCGGTAACTCCTTGGCCAGAGGTGGTCACGTAGTGCCCATGTTTCTTAATCCTCTGGTGTCAGCATTTAAACAAATCAATTTTTGTTTTCCAAATGCAATTTGAAGAGTGGTTTCTTCATAAAATTCAAGACGCTCCCAGTCTGCTGAGATTTGTTTTGTTTCATTTGATATACACAGGAAGAAACTGCTTCTTTGGTGCTGAGAAGGAATACTGGGAATATTTACATTTGAATAATATTTAACTAGCAATGCTTAATACATTAACAATAAATCTTGGTTAGATTCTAAATTAAGTGGATTTGCATCTGAGTAGGTGAGATGAACAGGAGAGATTTTGTTGAAACATAAACAAGACAGAAATTTGTTCCAAAATAATGTAGCCCAAAGGATGTAAACAGTAATGTTCAATAGTTTTTCTCCTCCAGAAACCGTTCTATGTGTCTTATTGCCTGCGTCATGCATATTGTTTCTTGGAAAGAAGCTGAAAAACTGCTTTGATTTTTTTTTTTTAAGTCTCAATAGTCTGTATAGTGTTGCTGAGCAAATTTAGAGGGGTAGTTCTCTAGTGATCTTTTGGCCTTTCTAATAGATATAATAAGTGACTAACCTCTGGTATTTTCAGAGTAATCACAGCATAGCTGGTTGCCTACAGGTGGTCAGGAAGGCATTTTATTTTATTTTCCTCCCTTTGTGCAACCCTTAGCACACATCATTGAACAGATGTCTAGTTATATTGGACCAAGGAGACAGAGAAGATTTGAGCAGTTTATGTTCTTAAGAAATATCAGATTATGGCCATTCACAGGGGAATTCTGGATAGCTAAGTCATGTTGAGGATTTGTAATTTCAGCTTCCTACTGACTTGCTGTAGAGGTGTCTTCAAGCTGAGTGCTGATGCGGAATCAAAGTGTCCAGATACCAGGCGCTTCGTTGTTTTGCTGACTTGAGAGTGATTTGCTTTGGATGAATCAAAGATGGCCTCACTGCCTGTAGACTGAATGACCAGCCAGGGCTGCCTCCGTTTTCAAATATGCAGCTGTACTGAGCCATCTCAAAGCTCTTCTCAGTAATGGGGGAAGAACTGCCATTTACTGCTTCACACCATACACACCTGCTTGGAAAGTTCCTCACTGGTTTTCTGTTCTCTTCTTGTGGGGTGGTTTTAACAGTGTGCCCTGGAGATGCGAGACTTCCCCTGGGCAGCAGGAGGCACGCATCTAGAGAATGCTGGAGCTGCAGGAGGAAAGCGCCCAGTGCAAAACCAGAGAGGAGCAAAGAGAAAAAAGGCAAGCCGACAGCCAGCATTGAGAGAAGCGGGTGGCAGAAAGTGCTTCAACGCTGCCTCTGGTGGCACGCTCCCCAGAGGAACGTGAGGAGAGCCCATCTGCGTGCGTGTGAGACTGTGAGCTCAGGATTTCTGTCAATGCATTCCAGTAACCCCAAAGTGAGGAACTCCCCGTCAGGCAACACACAGAGGTAAGGAAAAGAGCCTGCAGTCAGCTGCTTGGGGTCGATGCGTGGTGCTGTCCCGGCTCTGCTGCAGGGTTAGCCCAGGGCTGGTGCGTGTGACTCACTGGTCCCCCTTTGTGCTCCCGTTGGACCTGCCACGTACCTGAGCGCTGGCTGCACAGCGCTGACGGGCCTCCATGTTTGCTAGGCTCAGGATGAGCTGAAAGCTCTAAACCCATGAGGTGCAGATTCTCCATTCTACGTGCCCTTCTCCCTCCCATCAGGTGTCTGAATAGGCTGTAGGAGAGTAAATGTGCTGTTTCTATCGGTGGTGTTTTTTTTTTTTTTTTTTCCCCT